CCAGACCTAAAGACCAAATAGTACCCCCAACAATTTTATACCAAATGCAAGCCCGCAAAAAGTTACGTCTAGTGGTATAGTCAGAACAAATATAGTTTGTAATATTATAACGATTCTAGGCTCAATACATCATTTTCACTTATGTATCACAGTCTCATATCAATTGAAATGATACAAGTTATCTTTCTTCACTTTCGAATTACGTATTAATAGATCGTAGTTTTCATGGCTCCAAGTTTTTATTAAATGTACGATATCGTAGACCAATATGTCACGTATTTTGCCAAATTTTCGTTTTCTAATGTTATATTTGAGTATCACAAAGCACGTGAGCGAGTTGAGTAATGTTTAGTGTGAATTATCAAAAGCCTTACTATTGATGACTGATAACGAGAAGAAGGAACAGAAAAAAAGAAAGTTATGTGCACATTTATGCACGAACAGATAAGAAGAGAATACAGAAAAGAAAATGGTCGAGTGTCGAAATATTTTCAACTTTTTTCATTGATTTTCTTTCTGAGTATCTGTTGTCCACGCAAGTAATTTTTATTCACGTTAGACGTTGAACAATTTGCTGATTAGTTAATAAAAAATTCTATGGTACATCAATTGAAAAACCAAAATGGCTAATCTGCTTCATGATTCGGAAGAGCAACGATTCGTTGACAGAATTCGATGTGTCACATATCGTAAAATACGTGACGAACTGATTGCAAGAACAGGAGACTCAATTATTACTCGCCCTTGGATTTCCGAGAAGCTACGTCGCAGTGAAGATTGGGTACGACGAAATTGGAATAAATCTATCGAAGAATGTTATACACAATTTGGCAGTGATCGACCCCAGGTGTTTAATCAGGAGAGCAGAAACATTATCTCTTCTGCAAGTGGTGTCAAAAGCAGTAGCTGTCGAAAAGGTGCAAGAGAGATTTTAGAGAAAACAAAACAGCGGGTGAGTCACATGACTATTTACAATGAACGCCATCGGCAAGGATTAAAAGCTTTCCATGTGATAGCCAAGCCACTGAAGACAAATACACATATCGAAGATCGCAAGTGGCTAGCAAATTTTCTTACTGATTGGACTGAAGAAGATTTTCTACATGTTGCACCTTCGGATGAATTTTACATTTATGTTGTAAGAAAACCAAACCATCAAAATGATCGAATTTGGGCAAGAAGTATTGAAGACATCAGTGCTGATGAAAGATACCGAGAGATGGTTTACAATGCAACATGTATTGGGGTTTTCGTCATGTTTACTGCAAAAAAACTACTTTGGGTGCTAAAAGAACATGGACAGTCTTGGGATGGCGCTTATTTTCGTGACACTATCCTTCGACAACAGGTGATCCCATTTCTTCGTGATTCGTCCAATGTTCTCGATACGAACGAAGTGATATTTCTTCACGACAAGGCACCTTGTATGAAAGCGAATGCAACACAACATCTTTTAGAAGATGAGAATGTGAATTTCTGGGGAAATTCAATTTGGCCAGGCAATAGTCCTGACATGAATCCTGCAGAAAATATTGGTGCAATTATTAAAGATAAAGTTGAGAAACTAATGGCAAATGAAGATCGTCGTAGCAGATACAATTACGATGCACTGAAAACGAATTTGGAGAATACGCTCAAAGATCTTGAAAATGATACAGATCTTTTTATTGACTTGTTATGCTCGATGCGAAAAAGATTTGATGCTCTCAAGGCTGCTGATGGGGGTCATACGAAGTTCTGAAACTTTCGAAAAAGCATTTTTTAGTATTCAATATTATCAATAAACTGAATAATTAATGATTCACAACTTAAGTTACTGTTGAGCACAACGGCTTTTGACGTACTCGAGATTGTGATATATAAGTGAAAATGATGTATTGAGCCTAGAATCGTTATAATATTACAAACTATATTTGTTCTGACTATACCACTAGACGTAACTTTTTGCGGGCTTTCATTTGGTATAAAATTGTTGGGGGTACTATTTGGTCTTTAGGTCTGG